TCTGCATCCATCCCATCTGCCCTTTTCGAGTGTTTCTCTTTGTCTCTTGCTTTCTATTTCTGACTTCTCTTTGCCTCCCTCTGAATAAAAGGGGATTTGTGATTCAATATTGTTCTAACTGTTTATTAAAAGTCTATTTTCAACCCTAAGCAAAATGGTAAGAGATGATCCATTTGCTTAAATGGCTACAAATGTGTTAGTCTATTATAGCAATTATATAGTATAACAAGGGCAGTTATCTAATTATAGCAGGGCTCCATGGAAAAGCCACTTATTTCCTCATCCACCTGCTTGTCTAGCCATTTCTTCCTGTCTGCTGTTGTAAAAATCATCTGTTGGAATAGTAACTCACCCAAACAGGTTTTGTATAGGGTCATTAAATCAGGCTTTTGGTTTAAAGGTGCAACTTAAACAGCACAGACAAGTGCTGCTTAATGCTTGCATACCTACCCGTTACATTTAAATGAGACACTGGTTGAGACATGTATACACAACTTCCTCTGGGGCTACATGGAAACTTTTTGTTGTTGTCGTTTTGCTTTTTTCAAAACCACACAACCAGTAAGCTTTACAAACACACGTTACACAGTTCCACACACAATTCCCAAAGTGTATTTGTCTCTGTTGACTGGGTTCTAATAACTTAGCTGTAGTCTCTGTTGAATGGTTTGTTGCCATGGACACTTCTCATTTGGATAATTTAAAAAACTAGCACTGTGTGAATCTGTATAGAATGAGGGAATTATACTGTTTGTTCCCTGTTCTTTCATAAATCCAGTTATTGTGTTAACCCATTTTCCTTGCATAGGTTACACAAATTTTCTGTTTTAATACAGTTATTTAATTACTACCTTTTTTCACTTTGTGTGCACTTCAGAGACTAAATAATGTGTACGGTAGTTTTAATATGTCTTTTAAAATCTTTCCTCATTTCCTTAACCTCCAATGATAGATAGGGTACTTTAAAAAAAGCTATGACTTATAAAACAGGAGTATTCATAAAAAGCAGAGAGATTTGTTGGCTAAAACAAGGATAATTAACAAAACAGCTTTACCCTACATAGAAGATATCTGATAAGGCTTCACATACAAACATTAATTAAATATTTTCTAAAAGACCAATTGTTAAGCCAAAACACACTCAAAAGTCTAAAACTAACATCCACACATGATATTGGTATGTTTTTATTTTCTGCATCAAGTATACGCTCATATCAAAATGTAACCTTGTATGTTATACTTCTTTAGAATCAGGCAATCCTAAGGAAAATGACCATCAACTCAACTGTTAGCCAGCCTTACACTACAAAAACCAAAAATTAATAATTCTTCATCAACTTTGAATTCATAATTTATAGATCCTCCCTTGTTTTTCTGTTGTGGCAATCTTAAACACGCTCGAGAATGGCAAAAATAGGCTCATTATGTCTGTAACATTCCACAGAAAAGTATTATTCAGTTGTGTTTCTCAAAAAGTAAAGTCAAGTGTTGTAATAATTAATCAAAGGTCAGTTTTTGTGCTTTAAAAAAAAACAAAAAACATAAGGATGAAAACATATAATCCATCTTCATAATGATACCGGTCTGCCATTTTAGATAATCTAGGTTTCATGGATGTATTCACCTGCCTATTTACTCAATACATCGAGTGTAGCTTCCATTTTCACTATCCACAATACGATGAAAAGATCTTCTATGTTAAAAAAAGGCACTCCCCATGCGCATGTGTTACAAAGTGTTTTGTTTTGCTGGTGCTCCACAATATAGGAACCAATCGACCTTTGATCAAAATATTTTGTTAGCCAATAAGATAAGCTTTGCGATGATATATCGCAGGTGTAGGTGGAGTGAAAATATAGGCATTATTTTAGGGCTAAAACAATTAATTGGATTAATCGTGACTGATCGATTATTGAAATAATTGTCAACTAATGTAGTAATTGGTTAATCATTAAGTGGAGTATAGAGACTCTCAAATATGCCATTAGCTGACAGAGCAACCCACTTAGAGCAGTAATTATACCAAAATTGGTATTGCACCGATACCGATACCAGTATCGGACAGGGCCCCTATACTGCACTAAAATGGTGGTATCGGTATCAGTGACAACCAAAAAATAGGGCATCAATACCATTTTGAGAGCCAAAGGTTTAATCAACTATTGTCACCCATTCCAGGTAGGCAATAAAAAGTTCTACTGGATTCACATTGGTCTTTTTCCTGCTTCACAAAGGTAGGCAGCAGCTTGACAAAGCCATGATGGTAATTATTTTACATCCAAGTAGTATGCAGTTCTTCAAATATACACACACATTAATTTCAAACAGATGGTATCTGTATGGTATCGGTATCGGCTGATACTGCACAGCCAGGTATCCAGTATCGGTATCAGGGCCAAAATATGGCATTGGAGCAACACTAACCAAAAAAAAAAAAAACATAAATATTTTGAATTTAAGTTAAAAATAAATTATCAACATGCTCTAAGCAGAACTCCTCAAGTGGAAAAAAGTTAGTTTCACCTGCTTTGATTCTCCTTAAAGAATCCATTGACTATCTGATTATTAATAGATTGATTGAAAAAATAATCAATCAATCAACAGATTAATAAATTTGCTAAATAAGTTACAGCCCTACTTTATTTTCCTGTCTAAAGAGTGGGAGGAGAACCTATAGCGGTTATGCACATAGTGTACTTTCACGTTTGAAAATTGGAAATATTGTAAAAAAAAAAAATAAAAAAAAGTGCTTGAATGAGAATTAGTGTGATGGATGGATGGATGGATGGATGGATGGATGGATGGATGGATG